CGGTTCCTGTGGCTGCATGAGTGCCTCTTCCACTTCCCCTCCCAGTCCTGCTAGATGTCTGGTTTCACTGGCAGCTCTCTGGCAGCTCCCAATCTTCAGGGTGTAGGACCTTGTAGAGCGGGGCTGTGTACGAGATCTGGGCTGCTGCTGCTGCCATCTCTGCAGGGACATAAGGGGAGTCTCCAGCCCTTACCAGACTCTGCCACTTGCTTCTGGTAAATGAAAGGGGTCCCCAGCCCCAGGTTTCTTAGAGCATCCTGCTCTCACACTTCTGTTTGGAATTGATGTCATTCTGCCACACTTTGAAGACACTCCTTTTTCTGTCAGTGAGAGTTTGAATTTTCTTATTGTTCTCATTCCCAATGTTTCTTTGTGGAGAAACCTACAGATTCTATCACATGCCTCTGTCAAGGAAAAATCTTAAGTTTGGTGCTGCCATTACAGGGAGTTGAAACTACAGACAGGCCCCCAGTATGTGCCCTCTGGGTGACCTGGAGGCTTGTCAATCACAGAGTATGAGGTAATCTGATCTAACACACATGCTCAGTTCACTGACTGCATGATGTAATTTGACTAGAAATTTCTCTGTGAAGAGAGTTCTGATTGGCCACTAAATTCTTATAAAAGTTTTGTGAGCCGCCACCCGGGTGTGGTGGTGAGGTGGTGTGTGTGTGTTTTGGAGGAGAGGCTGTGCTCGATCCTTTGAGCAGAGGCTGCCTTTGCAGGGATTGTCTCACAGGGAAAGAATGATCCTTAGAACAGAGGCTGCGGATGGCAGGGACTGTGAGGCGCAAGCAGAGGCTGCGGGTGGCGGGTGGAGTGACTCGTCTTTTCGATCTCAGTTACGGGACTGTTTGGCTTCAATTTTGACTTCGGCTTACTTCATTCTGGCTTCCCATCTCCGACCTCGGCTTACGGACTGTCTTTTGGACTGGCGTTACGACCTCGTTCCTCGATTCACTACGTTATAGTTTTTGTTGTTTGTTATCCCGTTCATGAGCTATTGACCAGCCCTGGGACTAGCTAGTGGGCAGCCGCACCTATCCCTCAAGGGGTAGAAAGCAAGGGCTCGCTAGTGAACCCCGTGGGCCAACAGACCCCTTTGTTGTTCGTTATACTGTAACTGAAGAAATATCTGATCCTCCGCTTCCCAAGCGTGAGTAAATAAATCATATTTGTTTAAACTTCCCATACAGCTCACACTCCACCGCCGCTAATCCCACCTGTTCATATTCCAATTGCCACCCCGGCCCACCATGACCTTGGGGCCCGATTCACTCGGTGTTCGGTTACCCCGACAGCCTCATAGATGCCGTTGAGGCCAGGGGCAATGCCAGCATCTTCTTGGTGGGGGGCTGAGCCAGGGCTGGGCTCAGCTGGGTGGGGAGCCAGAGGCAGTGCTAGGGGGCCTTAGCCCCCCTGTAGCCACCCCTCCCAGTGCCGCCACCGCTGCCCACCTGTCCCATGCACCTGAGCCCACCCCACTCCCTCCCACTCCAAACCCAGACCCCCCCACACTGGGAAGAGGCTGGTGCCACCCCTGCCAGGAGCACTGCACCTTTCCAGGCTCAGCTGCGTTGCAGGGAGGGGGGCCTTAGCTGCATGGGCAGGCAGGTGGGCTTCTGTGGCAGCGCTGGGGGGGGTGACTATAGCCCTCCCAAGCCCCTCCCCCAGTGCCACCCCTGCTTGAGGCTTTCGCAGTGACCAGTGCAACCAAAACTATCTAAGAGCCAAGCATATAAGGAGCCACCTCTCTGAGGTCTGAGGATGGAACAACACTCTTTAAAGACAACTCCACCATCACTGAATGCATGGACAAGAATCTCTTCAACGTCAACCAATTACGTTCCGAATCCAAGACAACCAATACCTCAATTACTGGTCTTCAATACATTGGTGTCATATGTTCCCACTCAATTTAAGAGCTCTAGGTCACTCTCAGCGGCTTCTGTCAAATGCTTGGATTCACTGTCACCTTCACAAAAAATAAGATACTTTACCAGCCTGTCCCAAACCAACCAACTTCTTCTGCACATTTTATA